AAATGGAATAAGTAGTATAAATGATTAGGTTCTTTCTAGGGTGAGATCCTATGTTCTAGACTTTTATGAGATACCCCATTTATATTGCGCCACGTGTCCCTGCCAAAAAATCCATTTTTTCCTCATTTACGTATTGTCCTAAATACCCTTCGTATAATTAATATTTTCAAAAAATCGGCCATTATATATTATTAATGTAATGTCAATTTTACCCTCTATATTTTTAATGCAATTTTAAATATATATTTATTGTTGAATTAAAATTTATAATGTCAATTATATCATTATTCGTAAAAATCATTAAACCACCCATCCAAAATTGCATCAACCTGATTTCGAACTCGTGACCATTTGAAAACACACAAGAATACTTACCATTAAGACACAACACATAATTAACAATAAACTAACAATACGGATATATATCACAAAGCTACAATTTATAATGGTTATAAAACTTATATAAATAATGTTAAATAAATTATTAATTCTCATATAATTATTATTATTATTATATATTAAAAATATCCCATACTAACAAATCTTTATATAATATAATTTAAAAATCTAAGTAAATGTTGTTCGACTCGTGTAATTTAAAAATTAATTTCGAAAGAATTTGAAGTTTGAATTGAATCGTAAATTGTAAGATTTAATTAAATCGTAATATTTGAATCAATTAAACTCATGTGTTTTCAATTCAAAAACAATATTCAAATATTTGATAGATTAAGCTCAACTCATTTCAATTCGTAGACAATATTCAAATATTTGAATCGGTTAAACTCAATAATTTATAATAGCGTATTAATCAATCTGTGTATAGTTAATGTTTAGTAACTTTTTTTTTATTGAATTTTATTATAAAAAATAATAAAATTTAATTGGTAAAAATCGTAAGATTTAATCGGTTCATGGTTAGATTAAATCTTACGATTTACGATCTGATTCTTACGATTTTACGAATTAAATTATTATTTTGTTGTTAAAATTGAATTGAAAGGATAGTAGACTTTAATTATAAATAGTTAACTCGATTAATACGTTCTTGTCAGTGGTTGAACTTAATCGATTCAAAGTTTTGAATAATATTTACAAATTAAAAGGATTTGCGCTTAATTGATTCAAATCATACGCTTTAATTAATCTTATGATTTGATTCTTGCGTAATTTAGGAATTATTTTTTTATGATAAAATTGAATTAAAAATGTATTACACTTTAATTAATAATAGTTAATTTGATTAAGACGTTCTTGTCAATAGTTGAGCGCGCTAATGAATCGATTCAAATATTTGAATAATGTTTACGAATTGAAAGGACTTGAGCTTAATTGGTTCAAATATTACGCTTTGATAAAATATTATGATTTACGATTAGGTTCTTACATGTGTTAGGAATTAAATTTATTATTTTTGTGACAAAATTGAATTAAAAAGATATTAGACATTACTTATAAATAGTTAAATCAATTTTGTAACATGTTATGTCAATAGTTAAGCAACTGATTCAAATATTTGAATAATGTTTACTAATTGAAAGGGTTTGTACTTCATTGATTCAAATCTTACTAGTTGATTAAATTAAATATTAAAAGAAAATTCACAATATAGTATTTGTAGTATATAATTTTATTTTAAAGTAAGAAAACTACTACTTGGAATGAGTTATAATTTTTTCTTCTTCTAAATAAACATATTATTTTAATTTTTATTTGGATTTGCCACACTATCGACTAAATAACATAAGTGAGTTTGAATTAAGTTATGCATTTTTTTTATTTAATTGAGCATTCTTTACATTTTTAAATTGTGGATTTTTATTAATACTTCTAATATTATATAATTAAGGGTAAATTACACACACCCCCTTGAGGTAAGCTTAAATAACTGTAGGTCCCTATGGTATCGATAATTACACTTAGCCCCCTGAAACGTAGTCAGAAACTCTAATGGGATAATGAATTAGATACGTTATTCCGATAGGGTTCTAACGGACTATTGGTTTCAGAAAGTGGTGAAGACAACAAAGAGCTATGGGGTGACATGGATCCCCGAACATTCCCGAACATTTCTTACAATCACCCATAGCTCTTTGTTGTCTCCATCACTTTCTGAAACCAATAGTCCGTTAGAACCCTATCGGAATAACGTATCCAATTCATTATCCCATTAGAGTTTCTGACTACGTTTCAGGGGGCTGAGTGTAATTATCGATACCACAGGGACCTTACAGTTATTTAAGCTTACCTCAGGGGGGTGTGTGTAATTTACCCTATAATTAATGATAGATGTTTGGCGTATTGAACTGCAATTCTTTATATTTTTCAAACTTTATTTTATTAAATTTGTTAATAATTTATTTCATACCATTTAATAATAATGAATGTTGCAATTAATATTTGCATTAACAATATTTATACAATGTGCTTGGATGGTTAGGAGTGATAAATGTATTAAGAGGTTACAAGTTCGATTTCCAATTAATGCATTTTTTTCAATTATTTATCAAATAAAACCTAGTCACAATGAATTTAAATTAATTATTTAATTAAAATATAGTAGGGGGTAAATTAGACAATTAAATGTTAATCAATTTTATATTAATTTAATAAAAAAAATAATAGAAGGATAATTTGGTAAAGTACTTCATTTCTTAGAACATAAGCCATGTTATTTTCCTAGGGTCCAGATTTAATCTTAAAAAATTAATGGTGATTAATGCATATCTCATAAAAGTTTAGAACATGGGGTATCTCACCTTAGAAAGACCCAAATGATTACCACCACCTTCTATATATTACTGTTTCAGAAACACGTCAGAATTGAGTTTCCGTACCTAGAAATAGAAACACAATTACAATCTTGAAACAACTAATAAAATTTGTTTGATTAACAAAAAAAAAAGAAAAAAAAAAGCTAATTAATTCTGCTGTAAACAACTACGTAGACCTGCTAACCTCAAAATTCAACATTAAAAGTGGTATTTTTGGATATGATACCAACGTCCTTGTTGGGAGACACGTTGTCGAGGACCAGAGAGCAATTAACAAAAACTTTGAATTCTCTGAGGTGAATTTGTCCCAAAACAACGATAATAGGTACTTTCAACCTCACAAGCAACGGAATCTTGTGATTATTTTTGTTATCTGTGAAAGCCTGCTGCAGTCCTGAACCAAAATCGGATTTCCCAGTCAAACCAATTTGCATAAGAGTCGTGTTTTCAAATCCCTGATAGAAATTTGGGATCTTTCCACTACAAAGAACAGCGTCGGAATAAGTGACGACCACCCAACTCCGTTCACCGTAAATAAATCCAACCCTTTTGTTGGGATTTTGGGCTGTGACGGACAGAAGAAATTCCGTGTTGAGGCTGAAATCGGGCATAATATTAAAGGCTTTAACCGCAAGATTCTCGACCTTGTACGTTGGGATTTTGGGATCATAATAAAGGTACAAAGCGACCGAGACGGCAACTTGGATGAAGATGAGGAGAAAAAGGAAGCAACAACAGCAGCAAATGCATCTGCAGCAACTTCCACCGCATACGGATTTTCTATGGTGGTTGGCGTAGCGTGGGGGGTTCCGGTGCTGGTAGACCGGGGGAGGTGCATTTCCGTAGTATTGGTTGTTCTCTAACATGGCGTAGTGGGGCGGCGGTGGGTTTGCATACATTATTTGAACGGGAGATGGAAGAAACGAGGGAGAAGGAGAAGAAAAGAGAGGCTCTCTTTTGTTCCGTTCTTCTCCTCTAAGTTGGAAACTTGTTCTGGGAGAGAGATAAAAGGGGGAAGGAGAATGAGATATGATTACTATTAACATTGGAAAGATGTACGGAATTTGTTAGGTATGGGTGGTTAGAGTGCATGTAGCTTTATGGTCCCTTGGCGTGATCTCCTAATTCTTCCTGGGTGATGTGGAAATGTTTGTGTTCTATATTTTGTTTATATCTTTTTCAGGAAGCATCAATTTTTAAGAAGGAACGTAGACCTAAATAATATTTCACTAGAATGCGTAATCTAAACATAATTGTATAATAATAGACTCATAACCATATATTAACATTTTATACCAAATTAAAGTTTAAATTATCTTTCTACATGGTCTTATTTGTTGGAAAACATTTATTAAAATAATTAAAAGGAGTTTATTGCAAAATATATCACCCCTTGTTAAAATCTCTTATTGGCACATATTCCTCTCTCAGAAAAAAAAAACTCACCAACGCTTTCGTGTGTAACCAAAGTCAATGCATCTGGACCCCTGAAGGTAAATCATGCTTAACACGTGCACATTCTGAGGTTGCTTCTTTTTTTTCGCTTGTAAAATGTCATAAATGCACACCTAATCGTTTTTATTTTACACGCGGTCTAAATTAAATATCAAGAATTTCACACAATCATTAATTTATCCCCCTTTTCTTTTTATGCCCAAGTTTCGACCATACGACTTCAACTTCAATTGCTTTGAGATTTTCTCTCGTTTTGCATTGAGATTTCCACAATGTCGTCGTAGTCGTCTAGCAACGTGGCAAAGATGAGTAATTCGAAGCCACTGATGGATTTGGGGTATGAAAATACTTCTCTATATCTATGCAAAATGAAAGCAATGATAAAAGTGGTTGAATCAACGAAACCATCAAAGGGTATAGTTGTACTACTCCTGTGAACATTGTGGCTGCAAATTTTTTCGTTGGTGTGAACCAAATCGAGCAACTTGGGAGCGATTGGTTTTTTTTGTACAATTTCTTAATTGGGAAGCCTTTGTAGAAGGTTTTCCAGATGAAACAGACGAGCGAGATGAAGTAACGTCAAGAACTACACCTAAGGGGTTTGAGGGACAAAATGGAGATGTAATTTAACATATTTCTTGGATTGTAAATTTATGATTATTTGTTGTGGATGTTGTTTTGTTATTGAAGTTGTAAAAGAAAAAAGCTTCTTGAGCTGTTTTTTTTTTTTTCTTCCATTATGATTTTAATGAACGAATCTTTGATGTTGTAATGATGTTTTTGATTGTTAAGCATAGTTTTTGTTTCTTTCTATTTTTATTACACATCTCTAACAAAAATTGTAGATAATCATCCTTGATTGTAAAATTAATGGAAAAAAACCCTATAGTATAAATGTAATTGGTAATTACAGAAATTCAATTGCAATTACAACAATAATATTTTACACAATTACAGTTGCAATAACAATTGCATTGCAACCTACCTAAAGCATAATTTTCCAATTTAATTGCATTGCAAAAGTGATAATCATACAATTATATCCAAAATAAAAAACCACAGTGTCATTCAATTACAGTCAGAAACCACTAATTACTTCCAAAATAATTAATTACTTCCAAAAGTGATCAAAATTTACAATGTTTTCAAAAGCCTGGATGACAAAAATTCAAAAACAAAAAAAAAAAATTCAAAGGACTTCTAAATCTTCCACTGTCTCCTCTTCTTGGCATTCTCCCTTATATTATGAAGAAATTGAGATATCTCTGGCTTCCTTATCCTTTAAGGCAATGGGGTTACTTTAACGACTAACATGTACACCAAAACTTCCTCCAAGCAGGGTTGCATTTCTCCTTCCCTCATACACCTACAACAGAGCTAAGTTAACACAAAAACATAGCTCTTTCAACACAAAAAAAAAAAAAAAAACACAAAAAGAACTACTATCATACAACCTTTCCAATCGTTCAAGGTTGTTGTGATCTTTCTAAACCAACTCTTGATTATTGAGTAGAAATAGGAGTTGCAACAGTTGTTTCGATACTTGGTTTAATAGTGGTTTGAGCCCTTGATACGAAAAAGTTCCTTGGTACAACAGACTTCCTTAGTGCAATAGTGGAGTTCATTTGTTCGTAAGAGTTCCTTGGGGCAGTGGAGTTCCTTAGGCAGACCTTCGTCCAGCAGAATTACTTGGTTCAACAGTGGAGTTCCTTTGTTCAGGAGTCTTCCTTGGAGTAGTGGAGTTCCTCGGTGTAGTGGTTTGGGCCATTGGTGCAGTGGTTTGGACCCTTGGTGCAAAAGTTGTTTGGGCAACTGGTTCAGCAGTGGAATTCCCTTATGAAAAATAAAATAAATGATCAAAAACTTTATAAACAATATACAATAATGATACAAAATTTACAAGAAAAAATGTACAAAATACTGATTCGGTAAAACCTAATCTCTTGGCCCGTTAAGAAGGATGGCCCAACAAGGGCCCAACAGAGAGGCTCCCATAAGGTCAGCTTAGTCAAAATAAAGCCCAGCTGAAAGGCGAGAGGATGACGGGCTCTCGCTAACGGGAAGAAAAACTTGACTTCTCGCAAGCGCGATGTCTGACAGAGCCGTCATCACATTTAATGCCTGTCTCCTCATGTGTCAGAGATATCAGGGAATGTTCAGCTTTGGGCATGTGTAGCCCACAACACTGTTCCTCGAAGAAACAAGTTAAGCCCAATTGAATCTTCATTTGGGGTTCGGAACAATCTGATTAGACAGACTAAACTGGAGTAAAGTCCGGATTCAAATCCGGACTTTTTCTATAAATAGCCTAAGGTCAGGTAAATAAAGGTACGCATATACAATCCTAAAATAGCTTATCAATTAGCGAGAGTATCTTATAGCAAAGTAACTTACTAACTTGGCCGTCGAAGTGCAAAGTCCGACATAATCCCGGTTTCTCTTTTTTCTGGTCTTATTCTACAGAACCCGACACAGAAGAAAACCCAATCAAAACAATATCAAAAGATTCGACTGAATCAAATGGCGCCGTCAGTGAGAAATATCTGAGTATAAGAACGTTGAGATAACCAAACATTTATATAATTTTGTTCTTTTCTTTTCCCTACTATACTACCACCAAAATAAACTTAATAATGAATACCCCCCTGGAGAGAAAATCAGTCAACTTGGCCCATCGAAATCAGAAGTTAGCCCAGCGCCCCACCCTAATGTGCATGGAGTTTATCTAGAAGGAGGTACCTCCGTCCAGCGAGATGATGTCTTGCATACTCCAGATGCTTTAACAGCCGGTCCCACGGTCACTTTTGTTGGGTTTCGGGCACGCGTACGCAGCGGAAAACAAAAATTTAATGTGATTTAAACGACTTTAAAGCACACAAGACATGCCCGACAAATTAAAATCAATTAATTGCGTACCTTTGCGCTTCCAGCGAAATTAAAACAACATACATGCTAAATAATTTAACCGAATTTAAATCAATTAACATGCTCGCATTTAAACCAAATAACATGCTTGCAACGATTAAAACGATTACACATAATCACATAAAATCACATGATAGCAAACATGAATTCATAGTTTAAACCTAAACGAACCGAAACTAGGGTTTCGTGTATTTACCTCTTGAAGCGTGAGGTAGGAGCGTTTAGCAAGTCGAGATTGCTACGGAAACCAATCCGTACAATCGGGGCAGCAGCGGTGCAGCAGCAGCAACGGCGAGACGGCACGGCGGCGCGTGTATCTCACGCGCGGTCTTCGGGGCGGCGCGTGGGTCGCGTGCGTCGTCGGCTTTAGGGCTACTCCTCGATTCTTCGATCTTCCTCCTCTCGGATTTCACCTCGTATACTTCGATCTACTAAACACGTGGCACTAGACACGTAATAGTTAGAATTAACGGAAGAAAAAGAAAGAAGAAAAGAGTACCGAAAGGGATCGGCCAATGGATGGCCGATTCCGGCGACGGAGGAGCGACGGCGGTGCGGTGGTGGCCGTGGGGAGAGTGGCCGAGAGAGAGAGGTGGACGGCTAGGGTTTTTGATTAGGTCTTGTATATTTGTGCAAGGCCTATAAATCAAGTATTTATAGTCCCTTGCATAAAACCCTAACGGGCTTAAGTTGGACCGGGCCCAACAACTTAAGCTCGTTAGTTCCTTTACTTGCTCGTCTCTCTCAATTCAATGATCGGAAAATTGCAACAATTACATTTTCGGAATCAATATAATATCCTCGTCATTACGAGTGCCAACTCTCAATTTCCAACTTTCCAAAAGTGGAAACCCTAATTCAGTGCACTTTCTAAATTTGGAAACTTCCCGATTTAGAAGGTTCACTAATACGTTCGCCTATTCTTTTCCTTTTCTTATTCTCATTCATAATTCCAAATTACGAATGTTGGATCCAATCATATTGACTTCCAATCATGCAAAGATAAACTATTTTATCTCTGACCGTTTATTCAAAGATCTCATGTGCACGAGCAGTGTGACCCTCGATGGTTCAGGTGTAAGCTAGCCGTGGGCCCACAACCCTTTGTGGTCAAAACTCGTCTCTTAGAGTTACGATTAAGATGAAGCTCGTTTCACCTTAATCACCCAACGAATCAAGATTGGCGTCTAGAAACTACGCGTCATGATTCCCTAGATACAAATGAAGTGCCTGCAAGAACCTTCAGATATAGTTAACGTACAGTACGGTCCCTTCCCTTCATATGTCCCGATCGAACTAGAGGCATTGGTTCATCGAGACCTCTTTATATGTTCGATGACGGTGCGATCGTTCCAAGTGTTGTAATCCTTACGTGCATGACTTAGAGAATCGAATTCTCTAATCATCACTTAGTCAGCTCTGGCCAGAGACTTAGAATGATTACAAACTTTCAGAACACACAGGACATCCAAGACTATTCTAGCGATCGAATCCCCGACTACAATGCACAGACCTCCCACTAGATTTCGGACTGCACGAACACTGGCCCTTGGGATGGTCCTCGGTGGAACTCAGGGACAGGTCACGATACAGCTGGTCCTCTAGTGAAGTCACGGTGA